CTCCGTGATTGGGGTGCGGGAACCCCAGCCAGCTGCCAGCGAGGCTTTCGTGAAGTTTGCTGATGCCCACCGCAGCATTGAAAAGTTCGGCATTCGGCTTCTGAAAACCATCAAGCCGGTGGGTCCAGTGGGGCATGTGTGTGTCTAGCATGGGAGGGTAGGGAAGAGACGTGTCATGTGCAGAGAGGGCCCTATACTAGAGTCAGAATGCCTGGGTACAGATTCTGCCTTGGTCACCTACAGGGCTGACTGTGGGTAAGTCATTATGCCTCCCTAGGCCTCAGCATTGACTTGTAGGCTGGTTAATGGCCCTGGCTCTGCCATTGGGTGATAGCTTTCTCTTGGCCTGGCCTTAGTCTTCTTATTCTTGGAAGGGACAAGGCCACAGGGAGCATGCTTTCCCTCTGACAGTCTGAGTCCACTAGAAGGGATGATGCATCAGCGCCATTCTTTGTCACCCTGGCCCCCACTGCTCATGAGGGCCTAAGCATCCACGTCACCCTCCCTGTCCAGATGCTGACAGATCTGAACACTTACCTCAACAAAGCCATCCCGGACACTCGCCTCACTATCAAGAAGTACCTGGACGTGAAGTTTGAGTACCTGGTGAGTAGTCTGCAGGAATCCGGCCTGCTGGGTGAGGACCCACTGGAGATTTCCCCTCCTTCTGTCAGCCACACCAAGGCAGGCAGGACTGGGCTGGAACTTCCATTGTATCTGATGAAGGAGGTGGAACCCTGGGCCTGGGGGTTGCAACCTGGACCCTTCTCTGATTGCTCAGAGGCTGAGAACTTGGGAGAGGCAGAGCTCTCTCTATATTATTCTGGCCTCTTGGGATTTTTCTGTCACCGTCAGCAATTGGTTACACTAGGTCATTGGTTGTAAAGTGAGTGCCAATGGGTGTTAATGAAATTTACATTTATTTATTTTACTTTTTGCTTTTAATTTCAGCTGGCTTTCACTTTATCCTAGTTTGGAGTTTTTTGGGTTTTTTTTACTATGTTTTTTTTTCTTTCTTCCTTTAGCAGTTCTCTTGCCCCTTTGCCCCCCATGTAGCTGGGATTATTGGCGCTAACCACAGTGTCAGGCTTTTTTTTTTTTTTTTTGTGGAGATGGGGTCTCACTCTGTCTCATGTTGGTCTTCTGCTAGTCTTGAACTCCTCTGAGCTCAGGCAATCCACCCACCCCGGCCTCCCACAGCGCTGGGACAATAGGGACAACAGGCGTGGGCCACCACGCCTGGCCAAAATTTACATTTAAATACTAATTCCCTGGTCAGAGGAGTTGAGAAAAGCCCCATTGAACAAGCCAAGTTTCCTTTGCTGCAGGACTTCCCAGAGCCTTTGATAGGGCCATGTATAGCCTGAGTCTTCAAGGGTCTTCCTAAATTCCTTTGCCCTTGGAACCCTTTTTTCCCAGAGCATTTCTTGGGACTTGAATTTGATAATCTCTGGGCTTCCCTGAGCACCTATTCGAGCCTCACCTGATAAGCGTCAGCTTATCTCAGCTGTGGGGCTACTGGACCCAGGAGGCCGAGCACCCCTCTCTGGGTGGTCTCAGCTTTCTGGGGTGGCCTGGGGGAACCATTGGGAGAAGCTGGGGATATTGGGGTGGGCTAGCCATGCTGACAGCTTCACCTGTCCCACACAGTCGTACTGCTTGAAGGTGAAAGAGATGGACGACGAGGAGTACAGCTGCATCGTGAGTGTCGAGGGGGGAGGAGGGCACACACCTTCCCCCGCCTCGCAGAGCCCCCCGAATGTCCTGGGTCTGCCAGGGATAGCAGGTGGGTCAGGCCAACTGGGAGAGACCTGGGGGTTTGGTCAGACTCATTCCTGGAGATTTGGGGCCATCCACCCCCACCCCTAGTCCCTCTGGGCCTTGGAGTGCTAGCCCGCTTGCTTTGGGCCCACACCCCATGCCTACATCCAGGCTCCTGCCCCCCATGGTTTGTGAGACTCTCACAGAGAAGAGCTTTCTTTACCCCTAAGAAGGTTTTTTTTTTTTTTTTTTTCACAGTTTTTGGCCAGGGCTGGGTCTGAACCCACCACCTCTGGCATATGGGGCCAGCACCCTACTCCTTTGAGCCACAGGCGCTGCCCTAAGAGGCACTTTTTATTTTTAAAATTTTTAATGTTTTTGCTGTCAGGATCCATCTTATGGCCAGTGTCCATTTATTTATTGTATCAAAGGTTTGGGGTTTTGTTATATTCTTCAACCTCAAAGCTTTTGTTACTAAGTTCTAATGATTGCTGGTGTCTCAGAAATAAAGGAGCAAGGTGGCTTTAAAAAGTGCAGTGTGACACAGGGCTGTGAGCCAGGGAGGGGGTTTGGCTGCATAGCCATCCTGCTCCTGCCCCCATCTGTCCCTGAGCAGGCCCCCCTGTTCTGCCCAGGGTTCCTAATGTGATCCCCCTGCCCCAGGCCCTAGGAGAGCCCCTGTACCGAGTGAGCACAGGCAACTATGAGTACCGCCTGATCCTGCGCTGCCGCCAGGAGGCTCGCACCCGCTTCTCCCAGATGCGCAAGGATGTGCTAGAGAAGATGGAGCTGCTGGATCAGAAGCACGGTGAGGGCCGTGGGTGGGCACTGGGGCCTGAGGGTCACCAGCTACCTTAATTCTTACGTGGTCCTTGGAATAGGGAGCTAATTCCATCTTCTCCCCAGTTTAGAGATGGGAAAACTGAGGCCCAGAGAGGTAGAGTACTTACCTGAGGTCTCAGGGCAAGGCCATGGCAGAGATTTGAGTCAGACACAGGATGTAAAGCCTGGCAGGAGCCCACCCATTTCCTTGGGGCCTGGCCTGGGTGGGGCTGGCCCTGTGCTCTGTGGGATCCATGCGGTTTAGACAATGATCCAAGTACCCTATGGCCTCTCCCACTCCCTGAACTGGGAGCCAGGAGGCCTGGGTCCTCCCTGGCTGTACAGCCCTTTCCTCTGTTCTTCCCAGAGCATGAGAAGTCAGTGAGGTGCCCAAGTGGGAAGGCCAGGGGAGGGGAGGCAGGCCAGGTGGTCTCGAGGGTCTCCACGAGGCAGGCAGCCATAGCCCACTGGAATCTGTCCCTTGTACTCCCTCCTGCAGTCCAGGACATCGTGTTCCAGCTGCAGCGCTTCGTGTCCACCATGTCCAAGTACTACAACGATTGCTATGGGGTGCTACGGGGTGCAGATGTCTTCCCCATCGAGGTGGACCTGGCACATACCACACTGGCCTACGGCGTCAACCAGGACGAGTACATGGATGGGGAGGAAGAGGAGGAGGAGGAAGAGGAAGATTCAGCAGCTGGGGAGCCGTCCAGAGATGCACGAGGGACTGCTGGGGCCTTGGACAAGGGTGGAAGCTGGTGTGACTCCTGAGTGCCCCGTGGGGTACGGGTGCGGCTCTGGGGGGTAGGGTGAGAGGGAGGATGCGCATGGGAGTGGGGTGGGGCTGCCACACAACAGGGTGGCGCATAAAGGCCTGCTGGCTTGGGGCCCCCGCCTTCCTGCTCCTCTGTCCTCGCACAGCAAAGCTGGGCTCCTGCCCAGGAAAGGCACCAGGGCCACAGCCTGGAACCTGGACACTGGCCCCCTCGCCCTTCCTGCTCCGCCCCCCTAGCCAGAGGGAGAGCTCTGGACCTGCCTTAGGAATGAGAGAGAGGGCAGACAGGAAGAGGGGTTGGAGGTGGCAGGAAGTCCAGGACTTGCTCCTGGTGGGCACTTTCACAGCCCCATCCCCAGAGCTGCCAGGAGTGGACAGCTGAGGTTGGCACCAGCATCTCACGTGCACCCTCACCTCACCCAAGACTGGTCTGCCCAGTCCACACTCACACCTTGGCGGCCTTTATTTATTTTGTTCCCTGGCCTGGCCACTTCTCTGGCAGAGGCTGGGCACTGGGCCTGTATTGAATAAACACAAACCCGAAGGAGCACTCTTTGCAGTGGCCTCACACCCTCCTCGCCTGCCTCCCTGGTCATGAGGTCGGGGGGTGGTGTCTGTTGACAGTCCCCTGTCTATACGTCTTTTATTCCTCACTGCTGCCCTACAAGATCAGCACTGTCGTCCCCATAACAGCTGAGGACACAAGGCTCAGAGAAATATCTCAAGGCCACACCATGATGGGGACACAGTGGAATCTGAACTCCGAGCCATCAGGTCCTAAAGACTCACTTTTGCTACCTGCCTCCCAAGCTTTGTGCTCCCTGGAGCCTGTTTACAGCCTTCCTCATCTGTGACTGTGGTGCTTCCAGACATGAAGTAGACAGGACAGACATTGGTCAGGGCCACCCGAGGCCCCAGGCAGGGGAGGGAAACAGTGAATGTTAACTCCCATGGGAGAGGTGCTCTCTTAGAAAGTCAAGGGGATGTGGATATCTCGCTGAAGATAGCAGGCATACTGCTGTCACTTCATCCCCATGTACCTCCCAGCACACCATGGGGCAGAGTCCTGTACTCAGCCTCCAGCATGTGCAGGAGGAGATGGAGGTGCCAGGCCAGGTCTGAGCCCAGAAACTGCCCTCTTTCTCCCAGGCAGGCCCCCAGCGGTGGGCAGTCCCAGCTCAAGCTCTAGTTGCTGCAACCCCCACTATGGGAAGATAAGAGGACAGCAAGCACTATGCCCATCCAGCCCTGTCTCTAGCCCAGGGACATTGCCTCCACCTGAGTGTGTGTGACACTTCTTCCTCAAATGCTGTTGAGTCTGACTCAGGGGTCCCTGGGAAGGGATGTCTGACTCCCTCCCAGCCCACCCCACTTGAGGTGGTGGCCAGGGGCCAGACGAGGTGCAGGAACAGAACCTTCCATCTTTCAGCGCAGCTTTATCAACTCTGTTGTCCTGCAGATCCACAGCAGCGTCACCCACTGGGCAGGGCCCCTGGGCAAGAGAGGGAGACAGTTCCCCAGACACCCAGGGAAACCAGTGGAGCCTAGGAGTGACCACCTCAGACCAGTGTGCCAGGCCCTCTGAGAGGGAAAGCCACATTCCCAAGTCACTAGGCCACCCCACCTAGTGCACCTGAAGCTACACAGCCTCCGGGGCCAACCTTGGCTCTGCCTCCACCTCTGGTTCCGAGGACCCAAGCCGGGGGCTCAGCACCTCCAAGGCCTCCAGTCTGCTAGCCTCCTCAGCACCAGCAGACAGGGGCTCAGGGTCCCCTTCGGCCTCGACTTCCTCAGTGTCACTGGCCCCACCCTCAGTTCCTGGACCTGAAGGGGCATCCTTAGAGCGGCGCAGGCAACATTTGGTGGCAACAGCCATGAAGATCCCAGCCAGGGCCACCTCTGAGCCTGCCAGGTAAAAGATGATCTCGTAGTTCTTCAGAGCATCCACCAGGCGGCCTGTTGGGAGTACAAGGAGAGGTAAGAGTCTTGGGTGGGGGGGGTCCCTCTTCCTCCCTATTCTCTCAGATAAAGGGTGGCATGCACACACTCATCTTTGTTTCTGTACTTGTAAAACCCTGCTCTGATTCTACCTTGTGAAACCTTAAAAATGTCACTTCCTAAGTGACATAGAGCCTCTAATGAGGCTCCCCCTCCAGCTCCACAGTGTGCTATGTCTTGCCTGGCAAAGGGCATTTGGGGTGTGAGTGGGAGGACGCCCTGGCCTTAGCTCTGCTTTTCTGGTGGCTCGCTAGGTCCTCAGAGGCTGGCTCAGCCCTCCCACCCACCTTTACCCACAGCCCTGGCCTCCTTTCTCTCCCAGGGGCCCATAAGCACCCCAGAACTAGCCTCAGCACGGGCTAGGAGGCAGGGCTTGGGGCCAGTAGCTCCTATTCTTGTCTCTGTATTCCCCAAGGTTTCTATCACATACACGTATTACTGTCATACTCAGATCTTTTAATTGCAAATATTTTCCCCTAAAATGTGGTTTCCTGGTGGGTTTCACTCTCTCTCTGGGGCATTCTCATCCCAGGTGCCTTCTCTGTTCATTAGCTCCACCTCAGGGTCACCAGAAATGGAAGATGGGGCCCTGGGCTTATAGTTGTGCTGGTTTTGAGGTTTCTGGTGGTATCTTTGAGGGCCAACCCCAACACTGCCTCAGGGGCCTTGCCATTCTTATTTTTCTCTTTTGGCCTTGCCATTCTTGCTGGGTCAGGCGAGATGACAACACTTGATGAGGGCACTCATTGGCCCAACCCTGGAGGAAGGATGGGCAGCTTACCCCAACCCAGGTGCAGCCCCCACCTGGCAAAGATGGCCTCCCTGTTACTGTGATTGCTTTACCCACTGCCTGTTCAAAGGCAGGCCCCCTACTGTTTCAGGACAACCTTACCACCTGGGGAACACCCTAATGCTCCTACCCCCACCTTTCCGATCTTAGTTCCTGTCTGACTTGCATAAGGACACTTTTCCAAGCAAACCCCACACCTTTTCATGCTGTATCCTCCCCTATGGGGCTCTGCTAGGAAGCCCTGCCTGAACATCTTCATGATGGCAATTTCCTAAGGGTGACGGGGTGGGGAGGGGGTGGTGGTGGTGAATGCTCCTGCCCCCAGCTCTGGTTCCCCAAAGACACTGTCTTATCTCAGTTACCCTTAGGGTGGGGAGACTAAAGACTTTAGATTCCATGTTTCAATGGTGTGGACATTTAGCGTCAGGCACGCCCAGACTCCAATTCAGGGACCACATTGTGCTAAACCTCTGTGCCTCAGTTTCCTCATTTGTAAAATGAGGACAAGTGCCCCCACTTCCCAAGGCCTTCCTGCCAGCTGCTCAAAATGGCAGGCTGGGCCAGCTGTCAGTGTTGGTTGGTTTCTTCCTGGCAACTTCTTTGGCTTCTCTGAAGCCACCCAGAGCTGGTGGTCCCGGCTTGGGAGAGAGACTAATTTGCTATGAAGGGCAGCCCACCCACCAGGTAGTCTCGGCTGATGAGTCCCTTCCCCATCCCTGGAAGTTCCATCTGGGACAGAGAAGGGGCTTCCCTTAGACTAAAGGGCTCTAGGCCTCACCACCCCCTCCTCCCGCGGAACGCACCGGCGGAGGGCGGTCCTATGAGCACCGCCACAGCCTCCAAGAGCAGCACCAGGCCCAACGCACTGGGAAAGCGGGGCGCACCGACGGTCGCCATGAGCACTTCGAACTGCAGCGCGCCCACCATGCCATATGAGAGGCCGAAAGCGATGCAGAAGGCGACAAGGGCGCCATACGAGCGCGCGCGCGCGCTACTCAGGTCCGTGATCCCATTGGCCAGCAGGGCCAGACTGAAGAGATAAGGGACTCGCTTTCGCAGGGGCGCCAGGCCCGCCAGGGCGCCGCACGCTGGCCGCGCCACGATGTCCACGAAGCCCACGATGGATAACAGGAAGGCGGCGTCGGTGTCAGGCACGCCCGCGTCCTTGGCGTAGTTCACTAACAGGATGGCGGGCACGAAGAGCCCGAGAGCCATCATGAACTTGGTGACCGCGTACACTACAAAGGCGCGGTCGGAGCACACTGCTACGTCCAGCAGACGCCGGCGGGGCCGACCGCCAGGGGGGGCCTCGCGCAAGTGCAGCCCAGAGCCGCTCGCCTCAGCTTCCGCCTCTCCCGGAGCGTCCCCAGAGCGGTCCCCGGCGCTGTCCCCGCGCAGTGGTGGCCCTGGACCGGGCGGCGGCCGCATGACAGCTCCGCACGCGCAGCAGTGCAGCAGGAGCCCGCCGAACAGCAGAAAGCCGCCGCGCCAGCCGAAGTGCTCGAGCAGCTGTTGGCCAAGCGGCGACAGCGCGGACAGGAACACTGGGCTGCCCGCCGCCGCCAGCCCGTTGGCCAGAGGCCGCCGTCGCTCGAAGTACAGCCCCAGCATGATGAGCGATGGTTGGAAGTTGAGGGCCAGGCCCAGGCCTGCGGGCGAGGCGGCGCTGTGAGGGCTTTCCCGGGGCAATTCCCCAGCCCCGGGCAGGAGGGAGAGGGTTGCCCGACCTGAGAACCCAGCTTAAGGACAGCCCCTCGTGGGGAAACTGAGGACAAGTCTTAGGCAAGATCTTCCGCCTCCCACCCCACTGCCTCAGGGGAGAGCAACGGGCACCCTCACCTGTGAGCACCCCAGCCGTCAGATATAGCTCCACGAGGCGCGTAGCAAAGGAAGCTAGGACCATGCCGGCGGAAGCCAGCAGCCCACCTGCCAGCATCACTGGGCGACACCCAAAGCGGGTCACGAGGATGCTGGACACCGGGCCTGTGGGGAGTGCAGGGTCACCAGCGGGTCTGGGCCAATCTCCTCTCCATTGGACATGCTCCAGGGTTTGCCCTCTCAGTCCTAGAACAGCCTCGACAGGATAAGTTCATCCTTTGTTCAGGGACCCAGAGAGGGCAGTGTCTGGGCAAGGTCACAGAGGTGGCTGGACAAACCAAGGAGACTGAGCCTTGTGTAGAGGGGAGGACATGTCCTGGCTTAGAGCTCCCTGCATCCCTACACCAACCTGGACCCTAAGCAGAGGAGTGGCTTCCACTCCTGTTTTATCTTCACAGACAAACTCCATGTCTCCACCTGGCACAGCCTGGAACACCCCCCCCCCCATCAGTCGTCCCCAGGCCCTTCCCCCACTGCAATCGGGATGAGACCTCCAGCTCACAAGCCATCCCCACACAGGGGATTAGGGCTGTGGGGAGGAGGAGTGATTCTTTGGTTCTCACCCTCCCCACCTATAAAATAGTCTGGTGTGGGTTTGTTGGCGGGACTGGTGGGGCCTGCCCGAGGGCTAAACTTGTAGGACAGCCACCCGGGCTGGCCTCCTTCTCTGGTCAGGTCCTTTTCCTTGCCCTCTCCTCCCCTCCTTCTAGTGCCAGGGTTTCCATTCCCGGGGAATGCTCAGGGGGTCGGGTATCTACTGGTTCGGGATCCCTGGGGCCCCGGGGAGGCGGAGGACCCGGTGCAGGCGCTGACCCGTGCCGTAGAGCATGGCCAGCATGATGGAGGACACCCAGGCGGTATCACTGTAGCCAGCGCCGAAGTCACGCATGAGCGCGCGGAAGAAGACGCTCACGGCCTTGGGAAAGCCATAGGCGAAGCCGGTGACCACGAAGCAGGCGCCCAGCACCGCCCAGCCCCAGCCGCCGTCTGGGGGGCCCATGCCCCGTCGGGGGCCGCCCGCGCCCATTGCCACTGTCTCTGAGGAAGGGGGAGGGTGACAAGAAAGGGCCGCTGGGTCTGTAGCCCAGAGGAGAGGGATGGAGACCCGCGTGGGGAAACTAAGGTACGGGCTACCTTGGTTCCCAAGGATCCTGGAACCAAGAGAGGAAACAGAGGTGGAAACTTCACCCAAAGTCTTCCTCTCCTGCAAGGGGTGGTGAAGGATGGAGGGGAGGATAATGGTGGGGGTCCCACCTGAGACTTGACTTCAGGAAGGCTCCCTCTGGAGCGCACTTCTCACCTGTCAGGACTTAGTGGTGGCAGAAAGGGTGCAGATGAGTGGAGAGCCAGGCAGCCAGTGTGTGTTTGGAGGTGTGCCTCAGGATGCCAGTGTCCCTCTGTATGTGTAAGGGTCTCAGAACAAACTGAGCAAATGCCAGGGGGACAGATGACAGCTGCAAAAGAGTCTTTGTGAGTGGAGGTATTCTTCCTTGGCCTTGCTGTATGTTCCTAATTTTTCTCAACAATCAGGGATGACTATTGTCATTAGAACATGAAGGGAGAGTGGGGAACCATTTTCAACAGACCATTAGCCAGGGAACTGAGTTCCTGTTCATCCTAGCTCAGCCAGCCATGGACTTGCTCCATGACTCAGGTCAGTCCCCTCCCTTCACTGAGCCTCAGTTTCCTCACCTATAAGATGAACAATCGCCTCAGGCCTGCTGGGAATCTTGGGGGAGAGGGGCCAGGGCTCTCGCTCCTGCTAGACAGGTGGGGACCTTAAGGGGCACTGGGAGAGAGACCTTCTGCCCTTGCGGCTTCCTGACCCCTCCATACACAGACAACGGCTCCAAAGTCTCACTCACACCATGGACCCCCTAACGGATGAGGAAGGTATTCCTCAGAGCCAGGATGGGCCATTCCAGAGCTGGGGCAGGAACCCAAGACCCTGGGCACAGCCTCCTTCCTCCTCACCACCCTCAGTTCCTGGGGACTCCCTTCTGCCACTGTGCAATGCTGAGACCCCCGCCCTCCCCAGGGGTATCTGGGACTCTATCCCTCCCCCAGCAGGACTAGGCTTTGGCTTTTCCTGCATCTCTCATCCATCACAGCTGCAGCCACATAAGGATGAGGACAAGAGGGTGGCCCCCAGCAGCCCTCATCCCACACTCACCTGAACCTACCTCTGGGTCTGGGTGTCCAGCCTCACATCTCCCCAGACCTGCAGGGAGGGGCTGCCGGGGATGGGAAGCTTACCCTGAGGGGGGCTCCGTTTCCAGCTTCCCACCAGCCTCAGGATCAGCCACCTGCCCTACTCTGGCCAGAGGCTCCCACTCCTGGGCCTGGGGCTTAGAGTGTGCCCCCTCCCCCACCCCACTCAGATAAGAGGCTTTGCTCAGGAGGGGAGAAGCAGCAGAGAACTCAGGGCTGGGCCTGGCCTCCAAGGTGGGGCTCCTGTCAGGTCCAAGGAGGGATAGAAGAGCCCTCACCTCTTGGAGCCTCAGACAAGGACACATAGACCTCTGCCCCATGGGGTCCTAGTCTGGTCCTGGGGGCTTGGCCCTGCCCTGGAGAAACCCCACAAGCACTAATCACCACATTCCAGGAGGGGTTCACTGGCTTTCCCCTGGATAAGGCTAATCCAGGCCTGAGAGCTGAGAATGTGGGGGCAGAGGGGCCAGAACAAAGGGTACAGTGTCCCAGGCCGCCTGAGGGTAACTTGCTGGTGGTCCTGGCCCTGGGCCACTGCCACCCCTTCCCCCAACTGGGAGCAGTCACCATTGCCTGGGGAACCCATAAGCAGATGGGGTGGGTGGTGTGGAGATAGGGGATGCGCCTTGAGGGCTCTGGGGCTCTGCTCTAAAGAACCTTTCAAATTGAGGGGCTGGGAGTGAGACAGGCCTCCCAGGGAACAGCAATGACTTTCAGGACCTCCTGCACTCCACTGTTTCCACCCCCAGCTCCCTACCCTGTCCCCCAGATCAAACACCACAATTCCCGATGCCATGTCTATTTCCTTTATTTCTCATTATTTATAAAAGTTAAACAGGGCATGTTTGGGGTGGGAGGGTGGGACAAAGAGTTCCTCTCCTCTGGGACAGAGAAGCGGGAAAGAGGTTGGGGACAAGAGGCAGGCCCTCCAGGGACAGTCCTGGAGCCCTTGGAGGGGAAGAAATTGTTCTGTCCCCTAGTTCCACCTGCTTTACTTAGAAGGCCCCAGACCTCAGGCCAGCACCTTGGAGCTACTTGGGCTGGGGAGCGGTTTGGGGAAGGGCAGTCGCCCCTGGTCTCAGGGTTCTGCATCTTGGATCAGTTGTTGCTACGGTTGTCGCTGCTGCCACTGCTGCCACCAAATCTGCACAGCCCCTGGGCAGCTGTGTCGGGTAGACCTCAGACCCCTGATAGAGGAAGGCACCTCAGCGGATGAGGGGCGCAGAGCGGTCATTGGTCACTGTAGGACGAAGCTTTACGGTGGCAAAGGGATTTGTGCCCCTGTAGGGAGAGAGGTTGGAAGGAAAGGGACACAGATCCCCACCTAACTATAGGCCCAGGCTGGCAGCTGGGCAACTGAGCCAGGTGTCCATGTCCTGCCTCCTGCCCCTACCAGGTCACCTCCACCCACCCCCAGCAACAGAGCTCTTCTGATCCCTGTGTGAGGACTCACCTTGGGAAGAGCTCTGGCGGATGCTGCTCCCAGGACATAAGTTTCTGAGTGGGGTGGGGAAGGGCTGGTTAGTGGGGAGAGGGGCAGGTCAGCCCCTCCCATCAGTCAAGGACCTGCCATGCCAAGCTCCCAGGTAACCCTGGCATCCCAAAGCCCAGACTGCTGTTGAGAATCAGAGCTGAGAAACCTCCAGGCCAGAATCCACCTCCTAGGACTCACCACCTGCCAGGATGGGCTGGGTGACCCCATAGGGAGGTACCCTTCCTGCCCAAGGGTCCTGGCAGCCAGCTCCAGCCCACGGACCCTGGGGAGGAGGAGAAGAAGCCTTTCCCAGCACCCCTAGCAGGACATTAGGGGCTACAGAACCTGACATGAAAGATTTCCCTCACCTCTGCCCCAGCTCAGACCCCATCCCGACCCTCCCTGCACAGAGAGTAGACTGAAGCTGGTAAAAGGGTCTCCTGCCGGACAGTCTGGGATAGAGCAGGGTGTTTCTGGCCTCCTGCCTCCCTGCCCACGGATGCCCTGGAGAAAGACAGGCTGGGGGCTCACCTTGACGTCACTGGACACACCCGTGCTCCCCATGCTGCTTCGGCGGCTACCGGGCAAGGGTGTAGGTGCAGGGCTGGGGGCACGACTCGGCACCCGGCTGGGAGTACGGGAGCGAGACTGGCCATCCCAATACTCTGAGGATGTGGTGGAATTCCTTGGCCGGTCCAGGAGGTCATCAAGGCTGTGGCTGCCTCGGAGTGGGTAGGACCTGAGTCCAGAGAAAGAGGATCAAAGGACTGGCCCTGCTGTACCCGAGTGCACCTGGTGGGCCCTTGGGTATTCTGGGTGAAAGGAAGTTATGGCTTAAGGGAGGAGGTCCTGAGATGAGACAGAGGGATGGGCTCAATGAACCCTAGTGGTAGAGAGATGGGGTGACTGGGGTTGTGGCTTTCCAGGGGCTGGAGAGGGCTGGGCCCACTTAAGACTATAATTCACAGACACTTCCCCCAGTGGGTAGGGACACCCCCCACTAGAGTTCTCAGCCCTCCCCCACCCCTGATGGCTCAGGTACCTGGAAGGTAGCTCGTTCATGGGGTTCACAGAGGTCATAGGGCTCAAGGGGGCCATGGGGCTCATGGGCACTTCTTCCAAAGGCTTTACATAGGCTTCAGGGAACCAGCCGCCCCTGTGGGGCAGAAGCAGAGGGGCTATAAGCAAGGGGCAGTGATTAACAATGATCAACAATAGTTCCAAGCAGGTCAGACGATTACTGTGCACTTGCTGTGTGCCCTACCTCGCTCCAGGGCTATGTAGCTAGTAACTCAGTTAATCCTATGAGGGAAGTCTTTTCTGGCACTTAAGGCCTTATAGAGGCCCTAACTTACCTCTTCAACCCCATGTCCCACCAGGGGCTGGGGCACCTTGGAGAGGGGGAACCAGAGGTCTGAGAAGGAAAGCAGGGACCAGCAGTGGTCAGGCTTCATTCTCTAGTCACTGAATATCACCATGGGTCACATGCACAAGAACAGGACAGGGTTCCTCCTCCCCAGAAGCTCCCAGCTGGGGGTGGGGGTAGGGGGACAGATGGGCACCAGACACATACACCAGAGGAGGTGGGTTTGAACCCAGCCTGGGCCTGCCAAACAACAATGACAATGACAACAAAAAAAACAGCCGGGTGTTGTGGCAGGCCCAGCTACTTAGGGAGGCTAAGGCAAGAGAATTGCTTAAGCCCAAGAGTTTCAGGTTGCTGTGAGCTGTGCCGTCACAACACTCTACTGAGGGCGACATAGTGAGATTCTGTCTCAAAAAAAAAAAATTGATGATCAGTGGGCAGTGTGCTATGGGTGTTGACAAAGGGGTGGGGGATGGGGTGGAGGCACCACAGACAATGGGAGGAGCCCAGAAAAGGGCAACAAGCCCAGGGTGCCTGACTCTAGACCCAGCGCTCTTCCATCTCAGCCCAGCTGTTTCCCTCTAACCAAGCCATCTGGTCCCAGGTGACCTTCACCCAGAGTATGGTGCCTGCACCCCTGCTCCATAGCATTCTGTACCTGCTATCAGAGTCTTTACCCAGGCTGGAGGCTCATGACCCCACCACCTTCAGAGTGGCTGCCATGGGGAGAGAAAGGGACTATGACTGTGGCACTTTAATCTTTTTAGACTCCACAGAACTCATGGAATTCTTACAGAACACCTGGGAAGATGTTCTCCAGCCTCAGACCCCAAGCAACAACAACACCCTCACCACAAGGTGACTGGAAGCTATTTTATCTCACACTGGTAGAGCAGAACCAGTTCAGTATGTTGACTTCTGTTTTCACCTTAAGATGCTGACTCAGGGCCAGGTGGAATGGCTCACGCCTGTCAGA